ATTCTCTTTGCTTCTATTATACATAGTACCAGAAGTCCTAGAAAAAGCCAATTGGTTAAAAAAATTTTTAAAAGCATCCCAACCAGAAAAGAAGTGATAGTATGACATAGGAATGGAGTTGTGGCTCAGTGGTAGAGTGCTTGCATAGCATGTATGAGGCACTGGGTTCAATCCTCAATACCACATAAAAATAAATAAGTAAAATAAAGGTACTGTGTCCATCTACAACCAAAAAATTTTTTAAAAAAGCATGACTGTTCACCTGACATGATTTTCTAAGTAGAAAACCCTAAAGTTTACATACACACACATGCACACAACCACACACACTGTTAGAACTAATAAATTTACAATTGCAGGATACAAAATGAACACATAAAAATGAGTTACATTTATGATGTCTAATTCTAAAAAGAAATTAGGAAAACATTCTCATTTATAGAGGCATGAAGAAAAGTAAAATATTTAAGAATAAACTTAACCAAGAAGATTAAATACTTGTACATTGAAAGCTATTAAAACATTGTTGAAATAAATTAAAGACAAAAACAAATGAGGATAAATCCCATATTCATAGATTAGAAGACTTGAGTTCATTAAAATGTCAATACTAACTAAAATGATCTACAGATTCAATGTAATTTCTATCAAAACCCAATGCTTTTTTCAAAATAGAAAAAGAAATCTCAAAATTTATATGAAATTTTAAAGAATCTGAAATAGGCAAACCACGTTGAGATAAAAATAAAGATGGAGGCTTTGCATGTTTTAATTTCAAAACATATTACAAAAGTCCAATCAAAATCTCAGTGGCATTCCTCATAGAAATAGAAAAAGCAATAATTAAATTCATCTGAAAAATTAAGAGACCCAGAATAGCTATAGCAATTCTAAGCAGGAAGAGTGAAACAGGTGGTATCACTATACCAGACCTTAAACTATACTACAGAGTAATAGTAATAAAAACAGCATGGTACTGGCACTAAAACAGGCTAGTAGACCAATGGTACAGAATAGAGGACACAGAGACTAACTCACAAATATACAATTATCTTATATTAAATAAAGGTGCCAAAAGCATGCACTGGAGAAAGGATAGTATATTCAACAAATAGTGCTGGGAAAACAGGAAATCCATATGCAACAAAATGAAATTTAATCCCTATCTCTCACCATGCACAAAAGTTAACTCAAAATGGATCAAGGATCTAGGGATTAAACCAGAGACTCTTCATCTAATAGAAGAAAAATAGGCCTTAATCTTCATCATGTGGGGCTAGGCCCAAATTCCTAAATAAGACACCTATAGCACAAGAATTAAATCCAAGAATAAACAAATGGGATGGATTCAAACTAAAAAGTTTTTTTTTTTTTCTCAGCAAAAGAAATAATATGCGAAGTGAGTAGGGAGCCTACATCCTGGGAAGAAATTTTTACCCTTCACACATCAGATAGAGCTCTAATCTCTAGGGTATATAAAGAGCTCAAGGAGATAAGCACCCCCTAAACAAATAATCCAATTAAATGGGTCAAAGACCTGAACAGACATTTCTCAGAAGAGGATGTACAATAAATCAACAAATATATGAAAAAATGCTCATCATCTCTAGCAGTCAGAGAAATGCAAATTAAAACTACTCTAAGATACTATCTCACTCCAGTAAGTGTGGCAGCCATTATGAAGACAAACAACAACAAGTGCTGGCAAGGATGCGGGGGGAAAAAGGTACACTTGTACATTGCTGGTGGGACTGCAAATTGGTGTAGCCAATTTAGAAAGCAGTATGGAGATTCCTTGGAAAACTGGGAATGGAACCACCATTTGACCCAGCTATTCCTCTTCTCGGACTATACCCAAAGGACCTAAAAACAGCATATTACAGGGACAGAGCCACATCAATGTTTATAGCAGCATAATTCACAATAGCTAAACTGTGGAGCCAACCTAGATGTCCTTCAGTGGATGAATGGGTAAAAAAACATGTGGCATTTATACACAATGAAATATTACTCAGCAATAAAAATGAATAAGATCATGGCATTTGCAGGGAAATGGATGGCATTAGAGAAGATTATGCTAAGTGAAGATAGCCAATCCCCCAAAAACAAATGTCAAATGTCTTCTCTGATATAAGGGGGGTGACTCAAAATGGGGTTGGGAGGGAGAGCAAGGGAGGAAGATTACCTCTAGATAGGGAGAAGGGGAGTAGCATGGATTGTAAAAAGAGACCCTCATCACACAAAATACATGTATGAAGATGTGAAATGTGGTGTCAACATACCTTACATATAAATTATGATACAATGATGTATTAATAATTGTAATGTAAAAATAAATAAATAAATATAAAAATATAAATATAAAAAACAAAGGTCCAGTAATCAAAGCCATGTAGTATTGGCATCAAGGTACACATATTAACCAATGGAATATATTAGAACTTCTATCCATTCCAACTACATTTTAGAACCTGTTTTGTCAACTTCCCTGTATACTAGTGGAATGACTATAGTTCATTATAATCTCTAGTATATTCTATGAATAACAAGAAAAAGAGGAGCCAATAGGCTCTAAACTTAAAGACATAATAAAGATATGAAAATGCGAATTACCATTATTTGATTAGTATAGATTGTTTACATGAACTATCAGATTTTACCCCATAAACATGTCCTATTATTGTACACTCTGTACTTGTATCAAATTATCACAATATATCTGTTAAATGTGCACAATTAAAATTATAATAAAAATGCATCAATAGAAACAGTGGAAAAAGATAAAAACTTCTATGCAATAAAGCAACAATAAAGAAAGTGATAAGACAATTGCAGAATAGGAGAAAAAATATTGAAAAAATACATTTAAAAAGAATTTAATATATAGAATACATAACAAACTCCTGTAATTCAACAACAAATTAACCTGATTTTTTAAAAGGCAAAGAAATTGAAAAAAAAACATTTCTCTAAATAAGATTAACAAATAGGCAAATGTATATAAAAAGATGTGCAATATCACTAATCATCAGGAAATGCATATCAAAACCAAAACTGAAATGTAACCTTACATATGTTAAAACAGCCACTATAAAAAAGAGCTAAAATAATATATTTTGTGAGGTATGTTTTTACCAATATAGATGGGATGGATGGTTGGATAGATGTTCAGGATAGATAGACAGAAAAAGGGTGGCAGTAGAGTAAATCAAGAATATAAAATCACAAATGTCAGAGAGGGTGTGGAGAAATTGGAATCCTTATTCATCATTTATGGGGGTAAAAATAGTATAAAAGCTGTTATGCATAACACTGTGGCATTTCCTCAAAAATATGAAAAGCAGAATTGCTATATGATCTGGCAATTCTATTTCTTGGTATATATCCAAAATGATTAAAAACAGAATCTCAAAGAAATATTTGGACTCTTATTCATTGCAGCCTTATTACCAATTGCCAAGAGGTGTTCAGCAATCAAATGTCCATTAGTAACTAATACATTAAAGACATACATACAATGGAATATTATTCAGCATTTAAAAATATGGGGATCCTGTAATCCTCAACATGAATGAATCTTGAGGATATTATGGTAGATAAAATAAGCTAGTCACAAAAGTGGCAAATATTACATAATTCCATATACATGAAAAAAATTAGCTTAAGTCTTAAAACCTAAATGTAGAATGGTGTTTGCCAGAGGCTAAGGGTATGGTGAAAAATTCTTGCTCAATGGGTATAAAGTTTGTTATGTAAGATGAATATCTTCTAGAGAACTAATGCAAACAATGTGCACTTAATTAACTATACACTTAAAAAGAGCTAAAATAATATATTTTGTGATGTATGTTTTTACCAAGATAGATGGGATGGATGGTTGGATAGAAGTAAGGATAGATAGATAGAAAAAGGGTGGGTAGAGTAAACCAGAGAAATAGAAGCATGAGAATAAGCCTGATTGTGCTGTCACTGGAGATGGAGGAATGGGACCATGAACCACAGCATAGAGATTGCTTCTAGAAACTGAAAAAGGCAAATAAATGAATTCTCTAGAGTGTGAAGAAGAAATCCAGTCATCTTAACAGCTGTATTTTATCCCAGTGATTTTTTTATTGTCCCATGTATAATAGTTTTATATTTCATTCCCCTTCTATGCCTTTGTTCCTATTGGTCACTTTGCCTGAAGGTTGGGCCAGTTCTTTTGTCTAAGATTTTCCCATTTTTCAAATACAATTTAATCTAACCTATTCTGAAAAAGCTATTTCTGGGAAGGACAAATGTTCTTGTCTTAATATTTATATATCAATATAAAACATATTAGTATATTCTATATTAATAGAATATTCACAAAATTTAACACATTTATCTATTTTTTTTCATTATATGCTGTTGATTAATATGCACTAAGCTTTTCCTCATGTAGGTTTCAGACTCAATCAGAGTCCCAACCAGAACAGATGGCACACACAAAGCAAGGATTATTTGAATAATATTTATTTTTAAAGGTACTGTATACAAATATGTGAATACATATGAGGTCTAAAGAATTGCAGAATGACTTCTGTATACTATAACCAAGCTTATGTTAACCCTATGAAAGAAAGAATAAGACTTGGAGAAAGTATACATTTCAAGAGGAAAGAGAATAATTTTCAATTACCTTGTAAAGAACAGTAACCATTGACAGAGGAACAAATTAATTTTTAAATTACCTAAAGAGAAAAAGGACATTGATCTTCCTCTCTGACTGGCGTTTCCATCGATGAACTCAATCAGAATCTGCTTCCTGAGATGAAAATTAGGGTAGAAATCTTTGGAAAAGGGACTCATAGATATAAACAGAATAAGGACTTTTATATCATTCAGAGCATTCCTTGGTAGTATAGAGTTATATGAACACTGTATAAGTATAGGTATTATGACTGTTTATTAATTAAGTTTATCACAAGAAAAATAAGTTTTGTAGTTACATGAGTCAATTAAATATTATTAACACCTACCATGAGATAAGCATTCTTCTTCAAGTCCTGAGAATACACTGGTTAAAAAAAAAAAAAGAGAGAGAGAGAGAGAGAAAACATCACTGCATTTTAGATAGAATATTAAAGTACAGGCAAGAAAAGAAAAAATAAACAAATGGGTAAAATAGACATCAAACTAAAAAGTAAAGAAAACTATCAATATAGTGAAAAGACATACAAAAAATAATAAATTATTCATACAATGAGAAATTAATATCCAGAAGATATTACTAATAAAAATAATATTAATGGCAAAAAGTGCATAACCAAAATAATACATGGGCAAAAGATCTAAATATATATTTCTTAAAAGAAGATTTACAAAGTGCCATGAAAATGAAAAAGTACACATATCTAATCATTGGAGAAATGAAAATCAAAACCACAATGAGATACCATCTCACCATAGTTAGAATGGAAATAATAAAACAGCTATTAGTTCAGCTGTTTATGTATATCCTCTGGGAAATTATTGAGCTATTTGAAAATCATTCTTTTGAAATTTTTGTCTGGCAACTGAATGGATTTAAAAAGACAGTGCAGGGTTCAACTGAACAATTTAATAAAGATATAAAATTTTGAAAAAGGATCCAAAAAAAAAAACACCTCTTGGAAATGAAAAGCTCAACAAGTCAGATTAAAAACTGCTGAAAGCCACACAAATGGACTAGATCAAGCCTAAGAAAAAGATAGCAAGGCTTAAAAAACAGTTTAAGAGTTATTACATTTAGATAACAATAAAGAAAAAATAAGAAGAAACAGAAAATGTGAGCTCTCTGGAATACTATTAAAAGAGCATATGTAAACACAATTAGAATAGATGACAGAAAGAGTTATAGGCTGAAGGCATTGAAAAACAATTTAGTTGAATAATAGCAAAATAATTCCCAAATCTTGGAAAAGACTTGGCTATCCAGATACAGGAGAAATTTACAATCCCAAATATAAACAGAACCCCCACATGACCTATTCTAGTAAAATTGCTAAAATACTAAGTAAATATACTAAAACTACTATACCCAACATAGTTATCTATCAGAATTAAAGAAGAAATGAAGACCTTCCAGGAAAAGTATAAACTGTGGTAACTTGTGACGACTAAATGAATATTACATAATATACTTAGGGAATTCTAAAATAAGAAAAGTAATAAAGATAAATATGGTCATGAGAGCATGGGAAAAATATATATCTCATGAGAAGAGTAGATAAGAAGATGAGAATAAGAAAATAACCTACATTATTAATACAGAAAGCTACGAAAACTGTGAGATGAATAAGTGGATAATAAATGATTATACACTAGTCAAAACAAATAGAAGAAAAACAATAGATGGCATATAAAAGTATATACCTTTCAAAAATAATGCAGAGTATAAATGGTCTTGATTCTCCACTCAAATGATGTTCACTGGCTGATTGGAATTAAAAACAAAATACTTCCAATAAGAAACTCATTGGCAAAAGCATACACAGAAAGTAAATGTATGAAAAATAATATTCTGAGCAAACAGAATTCAAAAGCAAACAGGAATAGCTATACTCATGTTTGCAAAACAAATGTTAAGCCAAAGTTATTTAGAAAAAAGAAGTTTACTACATAGTTACAAAGAAAACAATTCATCAAAAATATATAACAATTATAAACATGCATTTAACATTGGGGCAAACAATTGTATGCTGAAAAAAAAATCTCCTGGATATATAAGGAGAGATAGGACCCAATTTTGGGTTACTTCAATGCCCCACTCTCATTAATAAATAGATTGTAACAAAAAAAATCAATATAGAAACATCAGAGTTAAAATACATTATACATAGATCTAATTGAATTAATAGGTAACTACAGAATAGTCTATCCAACAACTGCAGAATATAAATATTTTCATAATCTCTTGTACTAAATTAAACATAAATTACATCATAAATAAGTCTTAATGAATTCAAAAACATTGAAAGAGTTTCTTGCATCTTACCATATTAATATGAAATAAAACTAGAAAGCAATAGCAATATAAGCTACAGAAATTATACAAATACATGGATATTGAACAATACACTTTTTCAATGAATGGTGTGATATTGAAGAAGTTGGGGAAAATTAAAAAATTTATAAATTCAAATGAATAGGGTGTTATGACATTCTAGTACCTGTAGTACACAGCAAACGCAGACATTTATAGCGATGAGCGACTACATTAAAAAACTGGAGAGATCTCAAATAAGTTATTTAATAATACATCTTAAGGTCTCAGAGAAACAAGAATTAGTAGAAGGAAAGAGATAATAAGGATCAGGGCAGGAAAAAAAAAGAAGCACAGGCTAAAATAATTCACTACACAGGGTCAATGTGATGAACATTTGGTTCTTTGAAACGATTAGTAAAATTGACAAATCCTTAACGAAACTAACTAGAGAGATAAAAGACTAAAAAAAAATAAAATTAGAGATGAAATGGTGTGTATTAAAACAGACAACAGTGTACGTCATAGGCTTAGTAGGGAATGCTTTGAAAAACCATATGCCAGTAAGCTGGAAAAGCCAAGAAGAGATGAGCAAATTTCTGAACACATATGACCTAAAATTTAACTAAAAGGGTAAAAAATCCTAAATAGATGAATAACAAGCAATGATTTTACACCAGTAAATAAAAAGTCTCCCAACAAAGAAAAGTTCAAGGACTGGATGAATTTACTACTGATTTTTTTCCAGACTTTTAAAGAATAAATACCAAAGTTCCTCAAGCTATTTCATGAACTAGAAAGGAAGGAACACTTGGAGATACATTCTATGAAGTCAGCGTTAGCCTACAACCAAAATCTGATAAAGACAAAACAAAAAAGAAAACTATAGATCAATATCATTGGTAAACATAGATACCAAATTCTCAAGAAAATACTGCCTAATTAAATTCAACATCACATTAAAAATAGCGTGTAAAGTGCTCGCCTCACATGCATGGGGACATCGGTTGCATATGAACACTACAAAAAAACTATACACATAATATATATTCATACACACATGATGTATGTATATGTATATACATATCTGTATATTGATAGATATAGATATATAAATATATGTGGTGATATACACCATGTTTTCATTCCAGGGATGCAAGAATGGTTCAACACATGCAAATCAATGAACGTAATACACTACACAAATAGGATCAAAGAAAAAAAAAACAATTACACATCATCTCAATAGCTTAATAAAGAGCCATTAATAACACTCAGCATCCCTTCATGGTAAAATTCCCTGAATAAATTAGACTGAGAAGGATCATATTTCAATATAATAAAGGCTATATATTACAATTCTATAGCCAACATGATACTGAAAGGGAAAAACTGAAAGAATTTCCTTTCAAATAAGGAATAATACAAGGATGTCCACACTTACCACTCTTTTTAAATTTTTTATTCTAATTTGTTATATATGACAGCAGAATGCATTACAATTCATTTACACATATATAGCACAATTTTTAATATCTCTGGGTGTATACAAAGTATATTCATACCATTTGTGTCTTCATACATGTATTTAGGGTAATGTTGTCTATCACATTCCACCATCTTTTTTTACCCCCTTGCTCCCTCCCTTCCTCTCCTTCCCCTCCTTCCCCTTTGTCCTATCTAGAGTTTATCTAATCGTCCCATGCTCCCCCTCCCAACCCCACTATGAATCAGCCTCCTTATATCAGAGAAAATATTTGTCATTTGGTTTTTTGGGATTGGCTAACTTCACTTAGCATTATATTGTCCAACTCTCTCCATTTACCTGCAAATGCCACAATTTTATTCTCTTTTATTGCTGAGTAATATTCCATTGTGTATATATGCCACATTTTCTTTATCCATTTGTCTACTGAAGGGCATCTAGGTTGCTTCCAAAGTTTAGCTATTGTGAAATCACACTTATCACTATTACTCAGTGTACTTGAAATTTTAGCCAGAGGAATTCGGCAAGAGAAAGAATTAAAAGTGACATGAATAGGAAATAAGAAGTCACATTATCCCTGCTGCAAGTGATATGAACCTATATTCATAAATCTTAACGATTCAACCGAAAGACTTAAAATTGATAAATTCAGCAAAGTTGCTGGACACAAAATCAATACACACAAATCAGTAGCCTTTTTATATGCCAATAATAAACTCACTGAGGAAGAACATAGGAAACAATCCCATTCATAGTATTCTCAAAAAAAGTTCTAGGAACAAACAATAAAAACAATGAAACACTGAAGGAAGAAATTTTAAAAAGATGGAAACAATCCACATGTTTATGGATTGGGAGAATATTGTTAAATTGGCCATACTACCAAAGTGATATACAGTTTCAGTGCAATCCCCATCAAAATACCATTGTAAATTTTTACAGAACAAGAAAACCAATCCTAATTTTTATTTTCAAGGACAAACTGTCCCAAATAGCCAAAGTGATCCTGAACAAAAAGAGAAATTCTAAAGGTATCAAAATAAATGTTTTCAAAATATACGACAAAGCCATAGTAACAAAAAAAATCATGGTGCTGTCATAAAAATAGACACATAGAGCAATGATAGAACACCTAGAAATAAACCCACATGTCTACAGCTGATTTTCAACAAAGAAGTGAGAAACAAACATAAAAAAAGACAGCCTCTTAAACAAATGGTGTTGGGAAAACTAGATATGTAAGCATTTAGAAGACTGAATCTAGATCTACAAAATGGGAGAATATCCTGCCAGTTATACATATGACAGATGATTACTATTCAGAATATGTAAAAACTCAAACAAATTAAGAACAGAAGAACAAATACCCCCCCACCCCAAAATGGGCAAATAATCTAGACAGATACTTCTCAAAGTAAAAAAGTACAAATGGCTAATATGCATATTAAAATGCTCATTGTCTTTAGTTATCAAGGAAATAGAAATCAAAATTTCTTTGAGATTTCATCTCACCCTAGTCAAAATGGCTATTATATTTTAAATTGGTAAATGCTAGTAAGGATGTAGGGAAAAAACAGGAATCCTTGTCCAATGTTAGTGGGAATGACAACTAATACAGGCACTGTAGAAAACAGTTATGGAGGTGCCTTTAAAAACAGAAATATAAATAAAACTAAAGAAATTGCCATATCATCCAGCTACACAACACATTGATATTTATATAAAGAAAAAGAATCAGCATACAAAAGAAATACCTGAGTATCTATGTTCATTGCAGCAATCTTCACAATAGCCAAGATAAGAATTTGTTCCAAGTGCCCATCAACAAATGAGTAGATTTGAAAAGTTGTATATATATATATGTATATATATATATACACACACACACAATGGAGTATTATTTGACCATATTTGACCATTATTTGACCATACAGAAGAATGAAATCATGTCATGTGCATGAAAATTGATAGAACTGGTATTCATCATTTTCAATGAAATAAGATAGACACAGAAAGATAAATATCTATTATCTCATGTTTTCTCGAATATGTGGAAACTAAGAGAGAGAAAGAAAGAAAGAAAGAGAGAAAAAAGAGAGAGTGATAAAAGAAAAGAAAAACTATGATTTAGAAGTGTCATAGGGACTATTAGGGCAGGAGAATGGGATGGGGGAACATGGGGATACAGGGGAGAACTTCAGATGGTAGAAGGGAGGGTAAGTATGATCCAAGAATGATGTATGCATATATGAAAATGTCAGAGTGAAAATAATTTTTACAATAAATATATGTTAATAATTTTTTAAAAATCAAATTCTAAAAATCTAGTGAGGATCTGGAGAAAGGGTAACTTATATAATGCCAGTGGGAATGCAAATCAGTACAGTCAGAGTATGTAGGTTCCTCAAAAACTTAAAAATAGAACTACTACAAGATCTAGCAATGCAGCTGATGGGGATGTCTCCAAAAGAAATGAATCACTGAATCACATTGAACGCTCATATTTATTGCCAAGATATAGAATTAACCATAGTGTCCACTGATTGATGAAAGAATAAAAAAAATGTGTCTCTCATATATATGCAGTGGAATACTATTCACCCATAAAAGGATGAGATCCTGTCATTTGGAGCAATGTGGATAGACCTGAAGTTTATAGTAAGTGAAACATGCCAGACACAGAAAAAAAATAGCTGCTGCATGATTTCATGTATAAGTAGAATCTATTTCTATGCACTGAGCTCATAGAAATAGAAAGCAGAATGATGGTTTTAAGTGACTGGAGAAGAGGGGAAGGGAAAGAAGAATGAAAAAAAGATTAGTTAATGGTAAAAATTATAGCCAGAGAGGAGGAATAAATTCTGGTGTCGTTTTAAGCAGAAAGGAAATTATAGTCAACAATATTGTTTCACAGAATTCTAAATATCAAGGAAAATATTTTGAATGTTTTCATTGCAAAAAAATG